CGCTTGTTCAAGTTCATCGTTCGCAGCGACGCCAAACCATTCACCTGCGAATCAACAGCATAACACACACATTTTAGTAAATAGTATTTAATAGATTGATAATATATCACAAGTCAGGTGTAATAAATTAATCTACATTATAAACATAGTAATATATACGCACGGTCGACTTCCACTGCGATCAAAAACCKACGTAAGTAGTAAATTATAATATATATTTATRCGCACCAACATCAAACCTTGTACCTGGAGTGTGGTACCTATACACGCATAMTCTATATAATATATGCCATATTCAATATTGTATATATAGAACACATTTCCAGGTCGAATTGACCGATATAATATATACACACAATATGAGCTTATAGTAGGTACCTATTATAATATATTATATTATTATAACAGAAAATTAAAATACCTACCTACCTATTCACAAATTAAATTAGGTATTAGCCGAGTATACACGTTTAAATCGTTGACGAATAAAATACAATACAACCGCCACGGTATTATCTGTGATAACTCATTATATAATAAACGTCTAGCCGATTTCATGATGTATACCTACATTCATTATAGTAGAAAATCGATCTCTCAAACCGGGATGTTTGCGACTCCATCATTGACAATGGTTCATATTTTACCGGTCTATGATAATATGAGGATAATTTTACACCGATTTTGAACGACAAATTTGTAATTAGACGCCTTCTATGTAATTATTATACATTATATGTATATTGCACCTGTGTTATAGACAAAAATATCGTGTATTGTTCGAAGTTCAACGTCAATAAGACGCTTAGTCATTTTAATTTCCTCTAGACAAATGACAATAAACGATATATACCTATAYGTACCTACCTACGTGAATATAATTATAACATTTTAGTGCATCTCATCCCATTATACATTTCAGCACGTGCAACTGTATAATATACAATATATATATATGTCTATATGGCGTCTGCATTATGCAGCAGTGTTCATTAAAAATGTTTTTGGTGATGCGTAAAAGAGGTTGAGAAAAAGCAAAAAATCAAAATGTATTTAAATGACGTACGCATCTATTTAAGTACGTATGCCGAGTATAAATGTATAATCTATACAATTTGCGAATACTTCGCGAAAAAAAAAACAGACATCCCGTGGTAGAAATCGACCATGTATATATTATTACTATTTGAAGACCGAGGAAGTCACAGAAACCAATTAAACGTYCGGTGCAGCGTGGAAAAACGATTTCGCTCCTTGGTGACTTTCACTGTACGACAAATTGAACGAAAAAACGTCATAAGCACTTATCTGTCGTCAGTTAAAATAAATAAATTCGGTCATCTTTACATATATGGACATAAAATAACACGGTAGGTTGTAGATATTGAAATTCACACAAATTGCTCGATATTTGCTTAGTATTGAGATCTGAGATAATATTATTACACTGATAATTATCAACTATTATCAAT